CGGCGGTCGGGCCTGCAGCCACCACCCTCAGGGACAGGCCTGCTGGCGGGGCGCGAGCTTCAGGCGGGAAGTAACAGGCCCTTCTGGGCTGGGGAATGGGGGCGCGGGGAAGGCCTCCCCCGAGGCTGGGCACTGCTGGGCGGGGGCGCCTGGCCAGGGAACCAAGTGGCCTCTCTTGCAGGAGGACGCCAGCGCCCCGGCCCCGGGCGGGGTCAGCCGAAGGCGCGGAGGCCCAAGGTGGCCTACGAGGCCTCGGCTGCCGGGGACGGGGCCGGCACCGGGCCCCCGGGGCCGCCGGGCTGGGAGCCCCGGGACTGGCAGCAGCACCTGGCGCACATCCGGGCCATGCGCAGCGGGAAGGACGCCCCCGTGGACCAGCTGGGCGCAGAGTGCTGCCACGACCCCGACGCGCCCCCAGAGGTGGGTGCGGGGCACCCCACTAGCCCCGGGGTCTGCCTCGCACGGCTGCCCTTGGCCGGCAGAGCAGCTCCCGTGGGGCCTGGCCGCTCCGGCCTGGGACAAGGCTCGGCCTCATGGCTGGTGGTGCGGCGAGCAGGCCCTGGCCAGCTGGGCCTGACCCCTCACCCCCCCACTTCCTGCCCCTATGACCAGGTGCGAAGGTACCAGGTGTTGCTGTCTCTCATGCTCTCCAGCCAGACCAAAGACCAGGTGACCGCGGGCGCCATGCAGCGGCTGCGAGCCCGGGGCCTGACCGTGGACAGCATCCTGCGGATGGATGACAGCACCCTAGGGGCACTCATCTACCCCGTGGGCTTCTGGAGGGTGAGTCTGCCCCTGGGGCCTGAACACGGTGGGCCCAAGGGCCGGGCAGGCAGCTCAGGCCACGGCCCCCAGGGTTCCGTCGCCTCGCCCGGCCCCGGGCCCCGGGCCCTTCCTGTCTGCACCCACCCCTTCCTTCCTCCACCTACCACCCGCCCGCCCGGCCCGGCCCTTGCCCACCGCCTGGCCCCGTGTGACGGCTCTGCTCCCCCGCGGAGTGGGGCAGGCCGGGAGGCGCGTGAGGGCGGCTGGGTGGGGCAGCGTCCTCCTGGCACAGCGTGGGCTGCAGTGAGTCACGTGGGACTGAAATATCCCTGCCAGACAGGCCCGGGGGCCCTCCCAGCAGCCCGGGCAGCGGGCGGGGCGCCCCAGTCCTCAGCCTTCCCTCCTGCAGGGCCAGGTGCTGGGTGCGGCCGGGCTGGGGGGACCCACGCCGGACCCCATGCGTGCCCCGGGTCCCCGCGCGAGTGGGCAGGGCTCCCCGTTGCTCCCGGCTTGTCCCCGCCGGGGTTCGGGCCGGCCTGGCGGCTGTCGGGTCGCTATGGTGCCCGTGGGCTCCCTCGGCCGTGTCCTCCCAGGCCGGCCACCCACCTCCCGCGCCTGGGCTCACCCCCAGAGCAAGGTCAAGTACATCAAGCAGACCACGGCCATCCTGCAGCAGCGCTACGGAGGGGACATCCCCGCTTCTGTGAGCGAGCTGGTGGCTCTGCCCGGGGTGGGCCCCAAGATGGCTCACCTGGCCATGGCCGTGGCCTGGGGTACCGTGTCAGGCATCGGTGAGTGGCACGCAGGCTTGGGACTGGCTCCCCACATCCCTGTGGCCCCCTCCCCGGTCTCCATCCAGAACTGGCCCCGAGGGTCAGGAAGTGCTGGGGGCCGAGCGGCCCGGGCGGGCGCGGGTCTGTCGGGGCAGCCGACGGGCAGCAGCCCCACGGCGCCTGGCCGGGTAAGGCGCGTGGCACGGTGAGCGGGGCGCAAGGCGCGGGGCGCAGAGCCAGCGCCCCGGGTGGGTGGGGGCTCCTGAGGCCATGCGACAGGGCCCCCCCACCCAGACCCCCCCGTGTGTCCCCACCCCCAAGTCCCAGGTCCCACGGGGTGAGGAGAGGATCGGGCAGCGCCCGCAGGCCGTGCCAGTGGGGGAGCACCTGACCCCACCCCCACCGGGCTGAGCCCGCAGGGTGCCTGGGGGCTTCCCTCAGCCCGTCAGACTCCCGCAGCCTTGGGCACGCGTCCGCCCCGGGGCTCCCTGGCCAGGGCGCTGGGTCAGCCCGCCCACGCCTGCCCAAGCTGGGCCGGTACCCAGGGTGCGGGTGTGCGTGGGCCAGCAGTGGGCAGCGGCCGGACGCAGAGGAAGGGAAGGCAGAGGGCAGCCGGGCCACCGTGGTCTGGGGGGGCGTGGCCCTGGCGGCAGCCTGAGGCAGCCTGTGGCCAGGGCAGGCTGTCCCGGACCCCGGGAGGGGTGGGATGCCCCCCGGCACCCGCTGGGCTGGCGCTGCGGCGGGTGGGCAGCGTGGCCGGGAGGGCCGTGCTCACCCACGCGCCTCCGCAGCGGTGGACACACACGTGCACAGGATCTCCAACCGGCTCGGGTGGACCAGGATGGCCACGAGGTCCCCAGAGCAGACCCGCAGGGCCCTGGAGGAGTGGCTGCCCAGGTGAGGGCGGGTGCGTGGGACGCGCCCCGCCCCGCCCCGCCCCCCCATTGACGCCCCCACTCTCCAGGGAGCTGTGGCACGAGATCAACGGCCTGCTGGTGGGCTTTGGCCAGCAGACCTGCCTGCCCGTGCGCCCGCGCTGCCAGGCCTGCCTCAACCGGACCCTGTGCCCGGCTGCCCGGGGTGCTGAGCGGGGCGCCTGTCTGCAATAAAGCTTGGGGCCGTCTGCAGGGCCTGGCGACTCTGCCCTGGGCGGGGCGTCCCCACCGCGGGTCCGGGTCGGGCTCTCCGGGCCAGGACGGGACACGGCGTTCCGAGCTGGACCGGCCAGCTGGAGGCGCCGGCCGTGGGAGCCGGCTGCAGCCAGCTGCCGGGAAGCCGGCTGGGGGGCTGGGGGGCTGGGGGGCTGGGGGCGGGCTGGCTGCCAGCAGCAGTAGGCGCCGAGGGCAGGGCAGGGACATCGTTTCCAGGGCGGACACTCGGGGTCCTGGCGCCTCCCCCCACGGCCGAGGACGCGGGAAGGTCAGCAGCCGGGTCGAGCGCGGCTGTTTATTGTGAGGCGCGCATGCGCTATGGCTTGCCGGGAAGGACAGCGCGGTCAGCGTGGGGGCGCGGGGGTGCGGCCGGGAA